AAACGCTCAACCGCCGGAGCCCGTAACCCTGAAGCGCTTGAGGCTCGTCTGTGGCTGCTTCGTACGGCTCGGGGCAGGTGCCGAGCTCGGACTTTTGGTCGTGGTGGATTCGGATTCCGAAGCAGGGCTCATCTGAAGCTTTGTGAACAAGTTTCGGGGGCGAGTGGTTTCCAAGAGCCAGAGATTCTTGGAGAGCATAGATCCGCTCTCGTTTGTCCTTGCATGCGTTCGAGCTACTCGTGGACTGCTGCATCCCCCGCCACAGTTGTTGAAAGCCACACGTTCGCACAGGCGCCCACAAGTCCGCTGGACTGGCAAGCCGCGAGGCCGCGGACGAGGTTAGCAGGTGATGTGCAGCAGAAGACCTCGATGGCATCGGGCACAGGTTTCAGCGGTTCACCCGTTTCTGCAATTGCTTGATAGGTGCCGTCACGAGATGTCAAAGTTTAAACTGCGCCCTGCGCAGATGGTCCTAACTGTAACATAGGGGCCCTAAATAGTAGGATCCTTAGTATAAGGACCCCAACATAAGGTACTTCTTCTGCGCAGGACTTCAGAGCCGTCAAACGGCGCGTCCCAACATAAGGTACCCTTAATTATTCGGTTGCAACAACTCTACTTGGAGGATCATGGGACTTAGTAACTTAGTAAGTAAGGTTACAAGTACCCTAATTGGGGTTATAAGTTATAAGTATAGTTACCTCAATAATAACCGCAGTTACTAAGTCCCATGATACTTTAAGTATATTTCTGGAGTTCAAAGCCCCTGGCAGAGGTCCGGTCCGCCGCAGTCGCTCGGAGATTTCCAGGACCCAGCCTCCCCACAGCCCGAGGACGCGGGCCGGTGGGGATGGGAGTCTGGTATACATATATATATATATATGTATATGTATGAGTATATATATATATGTAACATGTATATTCCGATTATTTTTAATATTCTTGCGAATATTTTATAATCTCATAGTGCATTTTGACTCAAGTACACCATCAAATGGACAGGTGTCGTTGAAACAGAACGTTACTTCAGTGGCTGGTGGACAAGCCTGAAGCCTTTGGCTTTAGTTTGCAAGTCTCTCGTTCACAGCAGAGTCTTTGAGCAACAGTTGTTTCAGAGCTCACTTCTGGTGATGCTGCAAAGGTGATGCCATGGAGACCCCAGAAAGCATTCAGATGTTGCAGCTGGTACAGCCTTGCAGATCGCAGGCTGACCGGAAATTCCTTGTCTCGTTGTCCGCGACGGAGCTGAATGAGCTTGGGACCACAGGGAACTCCAGAGGGGCCGGGGAGGGAAGGGTTCTAGGCCCGAGGGGGTAATGGGGTCGTTGTTGCTCGAAAGCAGCTTTTGCACAGTTTTTTCGGAAGGGCTCCTTCGCCGACAGGGCACGCTTGTAAGACGTTCAAAGGATGTGGAGCCTTGGCGACTTCCGCAGATGGCATGCCCAGAAGTCAACCGCCGGTCTTTCCAACTTCGATCGCCCGCCTTCTCTTTGTTTGTCGTGCGTCAGTCATGTCCGATTCTCCTCAGATTTGTCTGCCGAGGCTTCAGCAGGTGCTGCAGCGGGGCACTCGGTTGAGACGGGTGCTCATGATCCATGTAGTTACATATATCATGTGTTATATCTATGAGACTATCTAGCTAGCCAACTAATATCCACCATCATTCATTCCATCATCCTCGCACCCATCCATCCAGCCATCCATCTGTGCGCATACGTTTTAAGATTTATGTGTAGAGATGCATGCATGAGTAAACAGGTTCCTGCTTGCACGCATGATCCAAAGACACACACGCACACACAATCGCACAATCACACAAACACAACCCACACGTGCGCACATATGCGTATTCATACCTGACAAATACGTGTGTATAGGCGCCATACATAGACGCTACTTACCTACCTACATACATACATACATATCATGCATACGTACGTACATACATGCCGACATACACATCGTAATCGGTGCATACACGCATAGCCGCACATGTGTGTTTGAATAACAGATGGGGGTCTCACGGTTAATGTACGCCAATGAATACACATGTCAGCCAGTGTATCTGCAGGTGCATACAGCTCTCCCTCTTTCTCGGTCGCTTTCTCTATTTCGCTCCAGATTTGAGTTCCAGCATGTGTTTGGACGTGGGTAGATGTGCATGGGTGCTTTATATGTTAGACATCCTTACTTACTTACTTACTTGTACGCATGCGCGCGCATGTGCGTGCATGTGTAACACCGTGTGTCCTCATGTGCTCGCGAATGTTCTTATTGCCCATGCATCCAGCTATCTGTCTGCCGCTATTTGGAAGTTACATGGCCAGCTGGTCGTTTGTTATATCTTCTTTCTGTTGGCTGTCTGTGTGTTTGTGACCCCCTCCTGGCCCAAAGCGTGTTCTGATGCATCCTACCCTGTTTTACTCTTGTTATGCTATCGGCTTGGACATTGTGTGTCACTTCCACGGTTTCGACTTATGTATGTGTGTGTCTGTTGAAAAAGTATATGCGGTTGTGTTTGAGTGTTTCCATCTATTTGCATGCTTATCTCTCTCTCGCTCTCTCCCTGCCTGCATGTCTGTATAACACGAGCGCGCACGCGCGCGCACACACACACACACACACACACACACACACACACACACACACACACACACACACACACACACACACACACACACACACACACACACACACACACACACACACACACACCACACACACACACACACACACACACACACACACACACACACACACACACACACACACACACACACACTACACGCCGCACGCACGCACGCACGCACGCACGCACGCACGCACGCACGCACGCACGCACGCACGCACGCACGCACGCACGCACGCACGCACGCACGCACGCAGACAGACAGAGACAGGTATCTTGTTATACTTTCCGGTGTATCAACCTAGTCATCAATCTACCTAGCCGTCTATCAATGTACTTAGCCGTCGATCCCCCTGACTCCCTCAAACAAGTCTGTGATTTTGAGCTGGAGCCGACTGAGGAGTGTTCCGGCCCTGCCGGCACGACCGCCACCACAAGCCCCATCTCCGCAGCTGTTGGGGCCCCTTTGGTTCTCTCCCTCGCGGGTGTTGCGAGCTTTGTCAGATTCAGCCTTCACGGCCGAGCCAGTCCGAAAAGAAATATTGCGGTGCTGTCGCGTCATGCTTGCGGCTTGCATGGCTTGCTGCCAAGTCAAGAAGAACAAGCTAAGCAGGTCGGTTCTTGCGACAAACCTGCACGGAGCAAGACTGTCATGTCCGTACAGTACGAGCCTAGAAACAGCCCAGTACTCTAACCCGAGATGCCCTAGCAAACCCGATCTAGAGCGAAAGCCCCGCCCAAGTGTGTCTCCGTCTAGTTTTATCCCAGGCCAGACACCAGCAACCTCGCCAGCATCCTCGATAGCCTTCAGGGAATCGCCCAGGTACCCGGTTTTCAAGGCTTTGCGGGTCTTGGAGCCTAGCGTAGAGACCGTCCCTGGGTTTCACGGTGTGCCACAAGTATCGTGCAGGGCCGGTGGAGAAGAGCTCTTTCAGCACTGATGAAGGTATGTAGTCTTGGGCCGTCATGCTCGTTTTGTCGTCATCGCACATGTTCACACAGAGTCAGGAGCCTTCGATCGTGAGATTGCGTAGCAAGAGGCCTTATAATAGCCTTGCTTTATCGTGAGTGCTAAATTACCATTTGCAGCTTTGAAAACCGATACCAGGAGTCGCAGAACACGCATGGCTTCACGCGCGAGAATATCATCCAGGCCGGTGAGGGTGCGGGAGCGACAGTTGTGCACCCTAGCACCATGCTCGCTGCTCCGGTGAGAGTGTCACGGGGCTGATATGGGCTGATGACCAAAGTCTTTTCTCCATCCTACGCAGCATCGAGTGGGGTGCAAACTGGTCATTGGTTCGTTGAAAGATGTTGCAGGCCTGCACCTGGGATGTTGGTTGAAATATTTGTGCGTCGACGAGCTCGCGGTTTGGAAGCTTTAGCTGGCGAACGAATGTGCGATTGAATGCATGAATGATTTCTCGACCGAAACCACGAATCAACGAACGAAGGAAGGAGCGAAGGAAGGAGGAAATGAATGAATTTGATCAATGACTGAATGAAAGCATTCATGCGTTAACACATGCATGCATGCATGGACAGATGGATGGACGGACGGACGGGTGGATGGATGGCGCTTGGACGGATGCAGGGATGGACGGACGTACGGAGGGAGGGAGGGATGGCATGGAACGGAAAGGAACGGAGTAGTGAAGGGATGGAGCGAATGGAGTGAAAGGACGACATGAACATACGGATTGAATGATTGGAATCGGCAAACGAATGAATGGATGGATGGATGGATGGATGCTTGGACGGAAGGAAGGAAGAAAGGAAGGAAGAAAGGAAGGAAGGAAACATGGATGGAAGGGAAGGAGGTAGGATGAACGAGTGAATGCATGCATGCATGCATGCATGTATGAGTGAATCAATGATTGCATGCATAGAGCGGCACGATGTAGATGCATTAATGAATTGAAGCGAAAGTGAAGTGAGTTGAATTGAATGCATGCATGCATGAAGCGATACATGAATGCTAGATCATACCCGGTCCAATGCCAGGGAGCCCAACTCCAAGATGCGAGCTCCAACCACGAAAGACATTCTAAACCTTGAGCCTAAATTTGAAGAGGGGCTGTGCAACTTAAAAAAAGCTAGCATTTAGCACAGTCACAGCGACGATTTGGAATCTTTCTCAAGACCGCCGCGATGTTGTAACTACTCTTGATCCGTTGTGCGTGAAGGCAGCCACGCTTGTGTCCGCTGCGAAGCAGCAGCTTGCGCACGATGCCCAGTGAAGTTCGCCTTGCAGAATTGGAGCAACTAGGTGGACTTGAAGTTAGTGTTCATTGTGTTTGTAGTTTTTTCTTCAAGGGACAGACATCCTTGCGATCAACCCTTCGCCTGCGCAAGTTTCGAGACATGGCCGATGCTTCTGGGCTTGGCTAAAAGTTTAAATCCTCAGCCCGTCTGCTCAGGTATCTCCACGCTGAGTGCAAGGCCTCCGGCCTTCGGATACAGTGAAAAGATCGTTTCAAAGGTGAGGAGGCTGTTAGCGGACGACGCTCTGCGTTACACAGGAACGCGGAGCTACGGTAATATCCTGGTCTTACACAGGCAGTGGGTATACCCTGAAAGTCTCACGGTCGCAGTGGTAGTGGTAGTGGTAGCGGTAGTCGTCGTGGTGGTAGAAGCAGCCCCGTCCTGTGGGCAGTCGAAGCTCGCCGAGCTCACAGCCACTGCCGCGGCCGTCATCTCGACACCAGCGCCGCCCCTCACATCGGCGCCACAGGTGGACCGGATGTTTAGGAGTTTAGGTTTGAGCTTTCAGGTTTTTGAGGAAGGCTTGCTCAAGTAAAGTCTGGAATGGCGGGGCTTAAAGTGCTGTCAAAAACTCGAGAGGCGCCCCCATCCGCCCCCAGACCTCCGGTCGAGAGTGCAGGCGAATTTCCTGACGTCGCTTGCGGCGGGAGCAACGCCACCGACTGCTGCGCTACTGAATCCCACACCACCTCTCGGAGGCGCTGGGGAGTCCCCTAAAAGGGTTCTATATAAGGGCTACGATAAGGGGACAGTTGGGTGTTCGCTACTTGGTGTGCTCGGTCATGGTGGCCGCAAAGCGGCAAAGCCTTCAGCCTGAATGAGATGGTCTGTCGGTGATCTTGTCACTCTTTGACTGCCTGGCCGCTGTCTCTACTTACTTATGGAGCCGGCCTCTTCCAGAAATAGCCCGAGTGGGCAACACCCGCTTCCACAAATCGCAGTAAGTATGCTCATAGCCGCAGCGAAGATACAGTAAAGGTTGCGACAGTGGAAGCATGCCGCACACACGAATATCTCAACAATCTTCTCGCACAGCCTGCCAGGTTTGGGCACGCAGCCGCCTGTTTTCCCTGGGATTCAGGCTCAGGCAGCTGTGCCGCACTGTGGAAAAAAAGAAGCCTGGAAAACAAAGCCGAAACTTTTGCTGAAACCGCTCATTCCTCCTCAAGTATGCAACTTCAAAAATCTCAATCGCTAAGCCTGAAGCCCTAGGAAGTTTATGGGAGAGCTGTTGGGGACTGAGCCCCCAGCCCGGAGCGAATGCTTACTGCTATTACTATGACCATTACCATTACTATTACTATTACTATTACCATTACTACTACTACTACTACTACTACTGCTACTACTACTGCTATCACTATTACTATTACCGTTACCATTAAGCTCTCGAGAAACGTGGTCCAGGCCTTGGCCATCCTTCAGGCGCGCGAGCTTCTTTGGGTCTGGTCACGCGGGTGGTTGTGAAAGGTATGGTTCCTTTTTGGGTCGCTATTATAATACGGCACCTATTATTTAGGGTACCCAAAAAGGGACCTCAATTTTGACAGCTACCCACGTCTAGTCTAGGGTTCAGGGTTCTCTAAGAGTTTCAAGGTTTAATAGCTTATGGACCATCCATGGAGGAAGCGAGTGTTCCGACTCCCGGGCCCTTGGAGCCACGAGGATCCCCAACTTTCTCAACACTGTGTTTCTTTGGGTTCTGAAGGTGGTCGGCAAGCGCCGTGTGAAATCCATGAAACAGAACCAGCACAACATTGTGTGCGTGTGCGTGCGTGTTTGTGTGTGTATAACTCTGATTTGCACGAAATCGCGGTGATATGCTGGGGATACACACACAGCAGAGCAGGGAAAACAGTGTGTCATGTCGAAGGCCCCGAACACCTGGTACTTAACATTGTTGATAAGGTCTAGGTAAACGTCATTAGCCAACTCAACGCAAGAGTCTCGAATCAGGGTACTAACCGTGGAAGAAAGGAACCATCGCCGTCGCAGCAGCCATACACCCGCGAGCAGTAGCAATGGCAATCGTACTAACGGTTAGACTGGCTCTCAATCGTAATGGTATTAGACTGCCAGGATGGCAGCAAGAAGCACCTAGTAGAACAGCAGGTAGCCAATATCATGTTCTTGAACTGCAACTACCAGCAGTGGTAGCAGTCGGATCAGTGTCAACAGGATGAGAGTGACAGTGACAGCAGCCCGAAGCCTGGCGAAAGGCCCAGCAGCACTTGAACCTGCTTCAAGCCCAACTCGGTGCAGGCTCGAGCTCCCGGGGTTGTGATCATGGTCCTGACTCGCAAACCCGAAACCCTACCCTCAAAGGCTTTGAAGGGTTGGCTTGCAGCCCACGAATGAAGACGGTGACGTTGGATGTTCGGAACCAGGAATCATCATCATCATCATCATCATCATCGCCACCATCATCATTATCATCATCGGCATCGCCATCGTCATCGTCATCATCATCATCATCATCATCATCATCTCTATCATCTCTATCATCTCTATCATCTCTATCATCTCCATCATCGCAAGTGCACCAGCATCACCAACACCATCATGATCACCATCGGCACCGTCATAGTCATACCGCACTCCTGACAATAGTATGAGCAGTCCACTCCGGGCAAGACAGTGCTGGAAGGGCCTCGTGTTGGACGGTGTGATTTTGTGATGCCGCCCTTACGCTTTGAACGTGACTTTCTGTATTGTTTTCTCGCCCATTTTGCGATGAGACAATTACGTGCTGTACTAATAGTAGCATTGATATCTGTGTCATGCCGTCTTTCCATTCCCTCTTTGTTTACCTTGCTTGCTGTCACTCCAATTGGTGAGAGCTAGAGACAATGGCCAGTAGCGTTCCGTTCCGAGGAGCTGTAGGGGCTCTGCCCAGGCCATTCAAGCCCAAAATCCTGGGAATCGAAAGCCCCGGCCTCTCTCTAGAAAGCCCGCATCAAAGAATCTCTACTTTTTCAAAGCCCTGATGCCATTGCTCTCATGGTCATGAAATTTGAAGCACAAATCCTCATCCCCGATCTCCGCTGCCGCAGACCTCTCGCGGTGGGTGACGACCGACTACCCAATGCCAGAGCCATTCCCGCCGGCCCCGCCCACGGGTGCCATCCGAGGCCAGAAAGACTACGAGGTTTTGGTGCCTAATTCAAACTTCTGAAGTACGTTTGTGTGTCAGTGTCCGGGGTCCAGGTCAACAGTTCTTTTGTGGCACAGCTATCGTTTTTTCTGCAGGTGAGGGTGTCACTGGGGTGGTTACATGCCGGAGAGGCTTCGCACGAAATTTCGCGGGGGTCCAGTATGGGCGTCTTGTAGTTTAAAGAGCTATCGGCGAAGTGTTCTTAGACTTCGTCCGTTGGAGGGTTAGTCAGGTATCGTGGAAGCGCATGTGTTCTCACTCTTCAGCAGTCTCGGTGTACCTTGCGAAGGTGAGGATGGAATTTGTGACAGATTTGCCGTCGTGGGGAGGGTCGGGGAGAGGAGCTGGATGTGTGAGGATATGGCAGCTTAAACTATCATCGACATGAAACACTGCTACAGTAGCTTTTATTTTCTTAGCGTGTCTGTTGGGCTACAGTGCAAGTGCAAATCCCAAATCCTGGCGACGGGGGCTAGCCGCCTCTAGCCTTGGAGCCGCATCGTGACTGGATGCAAAATCTCTGACCCTAAGCCAGAGCTGACCATCTTTGTCTCCGCGAAGTGTGTCTCAGTCCAGTAATATGTAGGAAACCCTAAAATCGCATTTCAAACCTGAGAGACGTCGTGAACGAGCACAGGGCCTGAGCCGTGGTCACTACCAAGCTTACCTGCAATGTGCGCGTGGTTTCTTTCTGTGAGCCCAAACGATTGTAGCGCGAAGGTGCCGCAATTGCCTTGATTTCTGAAGCGCTGCCCGATACACTCGAGCAGACGCAGGCTTTGCCGGTGATGGTCATGTGCCCACCGTGCCGCCCGACTTTCTGACGCCCAATCTCGCCCTATTCCAGGCTCGCAGTCCGGCTCAGGGCAGCTCCTTTCCTAGGTTGTACTGTTCTACTCATGATAATACAATCTTGGCCTGTTTTGGTTTAGTCTATGCAGGTCCTGGTTCCGAAGCCAGCACACACAATCTATCCCGTGTTGCACTTTCGGGAAAGGAGGATCACTGTAAAGTCTTTGTTGTAAGATTGCCCAGTCACAAAGCTCCAAAGAACCGAGCCTATCCTAGGCTCCGGATTGCATCTCTGAATATCGAGCCGTCCTGCGATTTTGTTTCGAGCCACCCGCAAAGAAGCTCTTAACTTCACCCACCTTACCTTGCGGTAACTTGGCCTTGCTTGAAGGTCTTAAGCATCCCTGCCCTCCAATCCATCATTTGTAATGAAAATACCAGGAATACTTGTAGAAAAGCCATAAGAGTAAGACCACGAGGATGACTACTGGCACTAAGTGATAGGAAGAGCAGTAGTAAGAATAGTTATACATTTATTGACAATGGTAGCAACATTAATTATCAGAGTACCATTGCTAACAATAGCATTAACAGCATTAACAATGATGATGATTCTCATAGTAGTTCCTTTCCATTCTCGTCCGCCCAACTCCCAAATGCTCCTGGCCAGGATGCACCGGGATTAAGCACCAATGCAGAGGCCGGGAGAGGGGTGGCAATTGCACCCTCTGTTGCCTGGGGTAATATTCTGCGGTATGTTACAATATACCATGATGCACTGTCGCACAGTATTCATACAATGTAATGTATGATAGTTCATGACAGTATCCTAAATTATGCTACGAATATGCTGGGACCTTCTGAAGCTGAATCCTTGCATGGATCCGACGGCTCTTGGAGCCAGCTTCGAACGTGGATCTGTGCTCCTTCGGGCTGGGAGACTTTCAGCTCAGTTTCTGCGGAGCGTCGTGGACACTTCCGTGGCTCCTTGTCAAGTGAAGGCCTACTATCAAAGCGAAGAAGCTTTGGAAGATCCGGCGTCCGGCCCTGAGATGTGGCTTCTGCTGGCACTCGCAGAGAATACTATCGTTTAAGGTCACAGTCTGAAGATCTCGAAGAGCAGCGGTACGAGCTCGTCAGCACACGCACGTGGCCATGCAACAGCACACCGGCTGGTTCGCGTTACGGCGTTTTCATGCTTTTTCAAGAGGGTAAACCCGCGGAAGGTGAGAGTTGAAATTATCATGTTAGCTTCGTAGTCTTCATATGCCTATGACTGCAAAAGAAAATGCTTGAATCTTCGTAGCCATGCTGCACATCGTACATGCGAGCGAGCCGACTCCCGGCCTATTGCATCTAAACATCACATCCATGGTCATCTTCGTCTTCATCGTCATCAGCATCATCAGCTGCTCCACCGGCAACATCATTCCATGGCACTGTATCTCTCTTGCCTGCATCATGCCACGCACAGAGTCACAAAGGTCTGAAGGATTTGGTTCTGAAGTCCAGCAAGACACCCTCCGGTGGCCTCCTCAAGACTTTGCTGGGGTCTAGGTGGAGGTCTTGGACAGGCTCGGGTTCGCATCGACGGTCAGTGTCAGGGCTCGGACATGTTGCATGAGGATTGGAAGGATGCAAGCCTGTGGCGAACATATTGTCAGCCTCTTGACATGCTCGTCGCGCACAGGACGGTGAAGAGACAGCCTGCATGCAGTTCTTGCAGGGCTGTGGCCCAAGGGTACCTCATCCCTCCGCTACGCGTCACTGCTGCGGTTGCTGCTGCTAGGACGAAAGGGCCGACTCTACCGATGGCTCTCGTAAACAACTTGGGCGATGTGCACTTTACTAGTTACTTTCAGAGGGAGTATCAGTAAGGACTTACAAGAACACAGCAGCAATACCAGTAGGACTGCAGCCATGCCAGTACGACTGCCATCAGAAGAGATAGTACTGTGGACAGTGGAAACTATGACGCTGGCAGTGATCGTAGAAGAGAACGTATCTCTCCTAAGTGAACAACAAAGCGTCAACCCATGGCGGCAGTGGACGCCGAAGAGAGGCGTCTTCTCCCCGCCTCGCGGCTTGGCTAATGTTTCGGGAGATCAGGTCGGGAGGATTCAGAAGGAATGAGTTTTGAAAGTTTGGGGACGGCATTCTTTGGGCGCCTTCGTAAAAAGCGCTGCTATCTCACAGAGAGCCTGCTGCGGAAAAACCTACCCAGCTGTGTCCACCTGGAAAACTCGCAATCTCTCAGTTGAGAGGAGCCCCACGCACACATTCGGTGCTTAGGCTTTAGCGGTGCGTGTCCGGTTGCAGACATCTGATCGCTGGATGGATCAGATCCACCGGAATGAAGCACCACGGGGCACAGTCAATAACGTCTTTGGCTAGTCAGTTGCAGTCACAGATGCTGCGGCTTGCATGCGACGCAGACGTTTTCAGTTCTCCATTTCCTTGATCCATTCTAGGTGGTCTGTTATGTGCTAGCTGCCATGGTTCCAAAACCTCCGGAACCGCAGGCTTTGCCTTCGCTGGATCAACAAACTGAGAAGAGAAGGTCCCTCAAAAGGCAGTCCTGCACATCTCTGACGTCCTTGGCCTCGTCCATTAATTTCGAACTTCTCCGAGCCGTTCCGGTGCAGTTGGTCCTCGAAGGCCTGGGGAAGCACTGGAGCCAGAAACCGAGTGCGGATGACTACGGCCTCAGCCGGCGAGTTCATGCCATTGATGTGTTTTTGAGCCACGACTGGGCTACGAGTCGATGGTTGAAGGTCGTGACATTGCTGGTCCACTTTAACAGTGTTCCGGCAGCAGTGGCAAGCTTGCTCATGTGCCTGCTAGTCTGCCTTCTCATCATTCTCAGACTTTTAGACGGCTGGCTCACTGGCACCCTTGCCATCCATTGTACCTACTGGCTTGTCTTTGTTTTCTGGCAGCATCTCCGGGGCTTCTACAAAAAGAAGATGGTTTTCCTGGATCGGCTTTGCATCGCACAGCATGATCCACAATTAAAGAAGCAAGGGATCCTCGGCTTGGGCGGCTTCCTGGCGAAATCCCAGAGACTTCTGGTTCTGTGGAGCCCACGGTACTTCACACGTTTGTGGACAGCCTTCGAGCTATCCGCATTCTTGAGACATGATGAAGCAGGGGCGAAGAAGATCGACTTCGCTCCAGCAAGCATGGGGCCGTTGCTTCTCTACTTCTCTGGATTTGAGACGCTGCTTATCAGCAGCTTTCATATTCTCATGGTCCAGTTTGTGATGACCTTGCTGGGGGAAGAAAGTGTCCTGCCGGAGCAAGAAGGCAATCTGTCGCAGTTCACACTAGCTATGCTCGTGATCTGTGCGCCAGCGTTCTTCGTGATTGCACCAGTTGTCTTATACCTTGGCACAATGCAGATGAACGCCTTGCTCAAGCTTGGGAAGCAACTGGACAGTTTCGAGATTCGGGCTGCAAATTGCAGCTGCTGCCAGGTGGACCACTGTCACCCTGAAACTGGCGAAGAGCTACTGTGCGATCGGGAGCTGGTGTTCGAAACGCTGAAGAGATGGTTTCCAGACGAGGACTTCTCGAGTGCAAATTTTTACAAATTTGACTCCATGGTGCGCCAACAGCTCGGTGGTTTCGTGAAGAGCATTTTGGGGTCAGGCGCTCCACCTTTGCAGCACGTCATTGCAATCACGGTGCATCCTCTTCTTGGCTTCCTATGTCACTATGTCTACTTGGCCGTGCATGACTACTTTGGCTGGACGGCACTTGGTTGGATGATAGGCTGGCTACAGGCGCCGCCCATGGTGTATCTTGCCTTCTGGGAGTTTTTGCAATGTTGGAGGTTGGGTGCAAGATTTGGTGATCGTTACCCGCTTTGGCTCGTTCTCTCGCTTGGCATGAGTGCGGGCATCGCTTTCAACGTTGCGGTGTGGTTGCAGTACAATATTTTCAAGTATTATTTTGGCTATGATTTCAATTGGCCTGTACTAGGTTCACTCGTTCTGATGTGGGTCATCTTCGTAACACCATACGTATGGGAATACGCGCCCATGCATTTTGCAAGAAAATGAAGCTGGAGTGTGACATCGGCTTCCACAAAGCTTTCGAATAGGGCTTTGCGTGAATCATGGCCCTCAGATCTGGCTTGGCGTGAGACCGCCCACCCCCCAGTATTCAACGTTTCACCCACCGTAGTCCCGCGCCGGCATCCGAAGGGCCCGTGGGTAGTGCGATGACCTCTCCTCGAGGATTCCGTTGCTCCAGAGTTCCTGAGCCATAGGCACACTGTACCGCGAAAGGTGGCGCGGGCCTGACGGAAAGGATCATTCTGTACTCGGCACCAAGGAAGCACGGTGCGCTGTTTGAGGGCCGAGATGTTACATTCTCTCCCCTTGGTCCGCGTTGAAATCTTGAAAGCCAAACCTAAGATCTCTTTTCGCTGTAACCCCAAACTCAACCAATGCACCCTGAAACCCTGAACGTAAACCTGCCAGACCCACTGAACCCTTGAAGCCCCTACACCCCAAACCTACCAAAACCGGACCCGTCCCCCAATTCCTAACCCTGTGAAGTCCTAAACGCTTTCGACCCCCAGGCACTGAAATTGCCAAGCTCCTTAAATCCGGAACCGTGAATGAAGCTCTAAAGCTCTACAGCCCTTAACCTACTCAGCCCCGCAGCCCTAAACACCTCAGCCCTAGACCCCTAAACTCAGAACCCCCGAAACCCTAAACCTCCAAACCCCAACCCGCTGACCGCTAAACCCCTTGGCCCCTGAGCCCTTCAATTAGGAACCCAAAAAACACAGAAGCATAAGCATGTCATAGGGATATCCCTACCTTATTGGGCTTCATTATAAGGGGGTTTTATATGGGATATCCCCATCTTAATCTTTGCTTATGTGCTTTGGTGGGTCCCTATTCAAGCCTTTCTCATCTTCTCTTCAGGTGGGCCGCCCTCGTAGCCGAGGAGCCCGAGCTGGAGAAGCCCGGTGCTCTCCACCAGCTCAGTGGCACAGTGCCATGGCGATCGTTGGGGATTGGAAGGGATCTACTTTGGGGTTTTATTGCAAGGGGTTCAGTAGGACTTTCTAAGCAGTTGCATAGGGTTTTGTTGGGGTTTCAGAGGGGATGCCAGGGATCGAGGCGCTTGTGCACCAGCCTCTTGAGGAATGTGTCTCCAAAGGATTGAGCACGCTGAAGTCACGGCGTCGCACTTCCACCCGGAAAGTAGATGCGCCCTACGTCTCAACCTGACCACGAGGTGTTAAGCCGTCGAGTGGCTTCGAGGAAGTTGGCCTTCTGCACCCTCAAGGCCCCCAGTAGCTTCAAACTACTGGCTGCTTGCTTCGACTTCCTCTTGCCAGATGAACCGCCATAATCCATCGTGAAATTTTCGGCCGGTGTTTGCCAAACTCGATCAGACCAGAGGTCGATGGGGGCCAAGCATCACCATCTTCCCAGGCGGGCTCCATGCCGCTGTGCTCGTCTCCAAGAGTGGTAGTTTTGTCAGGAGGAGTGGCCTGAAATCATGGGCCTCTGCTTCTCCGCCGGGCTCATGGAAGCCGAGGTGGAACTTTGATGCAGTAGTCAAGCCCCGCACCCTAAACCCCACCTTGAACTACCGAAGCTTACCTGATATTATACATTGTTAGAATCGTGAGAACCTATAAAAAGGTAGGTTATGGTAGTTTGAGGTACAGTGTCCCAGAGCGTCGTTCCCTTCTTCAGCTCTGCAGCCTTCAGGGAAGCTGGTCTCCGGCTCCGGAGAGGCGAGGCGACATCGCGGTGGGCTCCCGTTTGGAGGCCGGGCACTTTTCAGAAAGGAGGGGTCCCTTGATTGGGGTCCACATACTCGGGATCTTAGTGTGTAGCTGTAGGGCTCTAAGTTAGGATCCCTGGTGTTTTGAAACTCCAAGATGTGCTCAGCCACTAACTTCATTCCCACGACGGGCTTGGGCAGGCTGTGGTCGGCTTGGCCCCTCGTTACCGGCCCGAGCCACTGGTGAGGCGCTGGCGTCGCCTGGAAGATCGGGACGAGGCCCTTTGCGTCTTGAAAACCGTTGACTCCCTGATCCCAAACCTCCCCGAAACCCAAAGCTCACTCTCTCTCCGTCTTTCTTTCGCTCTCCCTCTGTGCTGATGCACAGGCTCCGTCCCCGAGTCCGGGCAGTTACGATCTGTCCCTGCACCTCGCGAGGCTAGCCCATCAGGGCTCCAAGAGGGAATATGAGGCAGTTTCAGAAAACTGAGGGACCCGAATACTAACCCCTGTGGACCTTAAATGATACTCGGATCTTCATTTTACGGTGTTCGAATTATGAAGGCCCCTATACTCTGCACTGCTAGCATAGTTTTCGGAATTGACTGACCCCTTTAAACGAACCCCATTCTAGTTATTAAGGCCCCTATGGTACCTCGTCCAGGCGTGATGAGGCCAATCGAAAGGCCAGAGAGGCCTTGGCGGCAGTGGGCCGAGAGCCCCAGTTGTGGCGGTTCAGAAAACTGGAAGTTTCCGAAAATGGGGGACCCCAATATAGTACCCTAAATAATTAGTAGGATCCTTAGTAGAAGGACCCCAAAACAAAGATAGTCGTAGTAGTAGTAGTAGTAGTAGTAGTAGTAGTAGCAGCAGTAGTAGCAGTAGTCAAGATACAGGGGTCCCTGTTTAGGGGTTCATACTACAAGGATCCTGCAATGTAGGGATTCTTAATATCAGGACTTTGCTATTCAGGCCTCTCTGTGGGGGTCTGGTGTTTTCCTTCGTGTCTGCACACATCGTCCCTTGTTTGTCTATGATGAGCTCCAGTTGAAAACCGTTCCTACTGTGCCATTCATCCAAGCTTCCGGCCTAACAGTGAAATTACGCGAAGCGCCGGCAGAATCTTCAATCCTGATTTTGAGTTCCACGCGACAGCTGAGGCAAGCCGATCGCTCTTTGCAAGTTCTGGTCAGGGCGGGCGGCCGCCACTTGCGGAGAGGCTTCCCGACTGCCTGGGAGCAGGGAGTTCTCTTGCTACAAGCATAGCAACAACATCTCCTTCTGCAGAATGCGGGAAGAAGTGGCGTCTGAGGTGCAAAATGCAATAAATCTCTCCATCAAAAGCACTAGCACTGGCTAGTTTTAGACAGACTTTCTTGTTGCTTCCTTGGGTGGCTCATCAGACATCAGGGCCTAAAGATCGGATTAACATTAAACCCTGTAGAGCTCCTACAACTCGGCTCGGCCAACACATCTGTCAGTCGATCTGCCACTCTCTCTTCTTCGGCATGTGTAGAATTACAACATTGTCACTGTCTGTATCTATGTATATGCAGCCATATGTATGTACATATATATATATATATGTGTACACACATATTTGCATAGGCGCATGTACAGTTTTTGTATAGATGTACAGAGAGGGATGTGTATAGATAGTACAGATAGATCTTATGCAGGCCTCAGCTTCCAACCTCATACCCAGGCTTCCTGAGCTCTGACAAGTCAGACTCTGGAGTCGAAGCCATTAGGGGTTTAGGGTTTAGGGTTTAGGGTATTCCATCTCGAAAAGAAAGGCAGACTGCGGCTTTCGCCATCACTTCAACAGCCCGCAGGAGGTCGGCAGAGTCAGAGGGGGGATGTTTCGGAGGGCGCGGCATGTCATGGGCTATGGCGGTTTTTCAGCGGAGGCCTCTCGCCTCCACCGCAGATCAGCTGAAGGGGTTCAGCAATGAGAACCTTCAAAGTCTCGAAGCACGTGTTCCTGCTTGTGTAAGCTTTCCCGATTGGATCCGAAACCATCTACACACTCTTTAGCTACATGGCAAAGTACTGGCCTGCGAGCACTGGGAGTAGCAATGCATCAGAGCTTAGAGCAAATCTCTGTGCCGCTAAGAACAAGCAGCAGGTAGTTTAGGCCGAAGCAGAAGCAGCAGGATTATGGGCAGGTTCACAGTAGCACTAGCAGGAGCAGTAATAGTAGCAGTCAGTAGCGGTTTCTCGACGTGTCGTATTGTGTTATTCGGAGGGCTCGCAACGGCAAGTCGTAACCATACCGCAGCCGTTCGACTTAGGCGTATCCGTTCCGCATGCCGACGGTGTGCTAGCCTTTTCTTTAGACTGTCACGGCTTGATGCCTTCATCCTCGGACTCGTCCCGCTCCTGTCCTCCCCGCCGTCGGCGGCGAAGGGCCCGGCGGTCTTCGAGTACATCTTCCTCGTGTTCGAGGTTGGCCTCCGGCCTATCATATCAGCCTCTTGACTTTTTCTGTCAGGCGGCCCCGGTCCCGCCTCTCCGCCAGGAGGCCGACCCTTCCTTTCTGCGCTTTCCGCCTTTGCCCTTTGCTGGCTGAGGTCCTTTGGTGCTCAGCTCCGGTCCATCATGCATGGTCCCCAGCTGCAAGCATTTTTCTCTTTTTGCTTCATGTTGGCTCTTCCCAGGCCTGACCCGGCTCCTGGTCCGCCGGTCTCGCCCCCGAAGGCCTGATTGCAAGCTTTGTCCGGTCGTGCTCTCGCCCTGGCTGCTTGACTTGCCTTGTTCTGCTCGAGCGACCCTTGCTTCCCTCCGCAGCCGCTTTCAGCTTTCATCGCTCTTTGCCCTTTCTGCCTTTCGCTCTCGGTGATCATGGCCCGCTTCGGTGGACACGCTCTCCGTGATCTGGCCCGTGGTGTGGTGGGCGCTGCCGTGGGCATCCGGTCCGACGTCGACCCGACACCGGCCGATGTCGAGGCCCCTCCGGCTCCTGATGCTCAGGCTGTCCCGACGGAGGCTCCGGCCCAGGACACGAACGTGGCTCCGGACCCGGTCCCCCCCGTGGATCCCCCTGCCACCCCGTCCCAGCCCCCTGCCAAACGTGGTGCCGACTTCCTACCCACGCCCCAGAAGCAGCCTCCTAGGCACCCTTTTATGACTGGTGGTCTGCCCGCTGCTCCCGCGGCTTTCCTCCTGCCCGGCCTTCCACCCCCTCTTTCCCCCCTGCCAAGCCCGTTGCCGCTCCATCTGAAGCGGCTCCCAAAGCCCCCGCGGCAGCTGCCAAGGCCGCCCCGCCGCCCCTGGAGACGGACCTGTCATTTTTATGCACTCTTGATGATGATGCGATTTACCGGTCCCTTGCCGACCTGCCACCGTCCCAGGTGACTCGCCTCCTTCTTTTGATCGCCGAAGTCGCCCAGGATGTCACCTATGCCATGGGCAACCTGGGCCAGCTCGACGTTGAGGTTCCGGTCGCGCACATGTCCCAGACCGGCCCGCCTCCGAACCGAGGCCGCTATCCGCAGACGACGCGTGGTGACCTTGCACCTTTGCCGTCCGGTCCGCGCTTTCCGGACCAACAGGCAGCCGACGCCATCCATGCCGGTCTGGACCAGGCCGATGGCACCAGGCCTGATCCCAACCCGGCCCCGCCAAATCCCACCGATGGCGCTGGTGCTGAATCCGGTGGCCTGCGAGTCCTGCCCGGATTCGCCCGCCCCCACCAGGGACTTTTGACGGACACGTCTGGCATTGACCCGAACGAACCTCTGGTCCACTCGGATCCCAACCGCCCCGGCTGCACTCCGGTCTTTGTGGACCGTGGCCAACTTACCCCGCGCCGTGCCAATACCGGCCCCTGGACCATCAGCGAAGGCTGGGAGCGCTTGAGCATTTTCCTGCCTGAGACCCCCGGCCCTTTCATCCGCACGGACTCCTGGCCCTGGCCCGACCTCTTTTGCTTTGAGGAGCAGGACTTGCCAAGCTGGGCTCCGCTCCAGGACCCTCCGTCCGCCTGCAAATTCGCGGATACTGTTCGCACGATTGTCCGGCCCGGGGCCCGCACTGTCTCCGCATTTGCCTCCGGCCCGTGATGTTGCATTCCCGGACCGATCACACCGGGCACAAATGCCCGTATTGTATCCAAGACGGGTACTAGGCACCTGGTCCGGACCGCCCCGCATGCCCCGTGCCTTTAATGCCCGTAATCCAACTAGTCTCCTAAGATCATCGTGTGTGGGGTGGCCCGCTAGGCCCGGCTCTTTCTACTTTTCCGCTTCTCGCGGCCGGCCCTGATCCGGTCCCGCTGCGGCGTTGCCTAAAAAGTCGTGGTTCCCCGCCTTGCTGCACCTGCCTGGCTCTTTCAGAGACATGTTGCTTTTCTTGTTTCCTGCCGCCAGGCCAACATCGAGCTGGAGACCATCGAGGATTCGCCGGTCTCTTTCTTGCGTGTGTTTGCGCTTTGAGTTGTATGCCCTTCCCGGCCAGGTACCCGTGCATCCGCCGGTGGCCCCTGCGGGCAACCCGGCCTTGGCATCTGACCTTGGTTCCTTGCTTCATGGCTTTCCCTTGCAGCCCACCGCTGCCGCTCCACTGGTCACACCGCCCCGCCCGCAGCGGTGGTTTTTTTGGGCGACGCCTCCCCGCGTCCTTGCGATTCTCCGGCCTCGGCCCCTGGGCCCTCGGCACCGCCTCATTCCAGCCCCTCGTCGGCATCCTCTACATCCTTTCAGGTCGTGCCTGTCCCTACTGCTCACCCGGTTGGTCCTCCCTTGCCTGGACTTGCATCATTGCTTGTGCCTCGCCTTGGGCTGGTCTTGCCCTGTCTGTCCCGTGCTTCTTTGTCGGACCTGGCTGCTCGTCCCCGGCCCGCTCGGCCTCGGCCTTCCCCCTTGCCCTTGTTCCGCCCTCTTCGCTGCCCGGCTCTGCGCCCCACGTTCGGCTCCCACGTTTCCGTTGGGCCCACCACTTTTATCCTGCCCACGGGTACCCCGCCTGCCCCGCGACCCATTGGCGTACCCCCGGGGTCTTTCTGCCTCTTCTTCGGAAACGCGGCCTCCTGTGATTCCCCCGGCTCCCTTTGTGCATTCTGGCTTTTTGCCACTGGCCACTGACGCCTCCGATTCCTCCTCCATGGAATCCACAACTGCTCGCGCCTTGGCACATTTTCGCAACATGTTTTGCGACTTTGTTCAGGAGCTTGGTGACCGTTGCACCCTGTTTTTGCATACCAAGCTGGTACCCGTGCCCCGGGAACTCCAAGCACGTGCCATCGCGAAAAATGCCCCTAGCACTTTGCAGCTTTACTTGCGTTCCTGGTCTGCCTGGGTTCGGCACTGCATCCTTTCTGGGATTGATCCTGCCGACCCGCCGCCCGGTGCACTCCCGTCCTGGCTTCAGTTGACTTCCGCCCCCTCTGGCCTTTCCACCACAAGTTTTAAGGCTTTGAGTTGGATGGCCAAGGTGGCGGGCTTGCCATCTATCCAGGTGCAGTTGCACACTCCGCTTTGCTCCGCGTTTCTCTCCTCGACCGGTCCGGTGGAAAAACGTGAAGCCTTGCCTTTTTCCGTGTCCTTTGTCGTCTGGCTCGAACGGTCCGTCATGGATCCCACTACTCTTCTTGCCGAGGTCCTGCTGCGTGGGTCGGTCTTGTGCCTGATTTGGTCGTCTCTTCGTTGGAACGACGGCCTTTGGTCTCCCCCGTTCCGGGTGATACTGCAATCAGGCTCCACTGCCCTTACCGGTGTCGCCACCCGCACAAAAAGCTGCCGGGCCAACATGCCGTGGGGATGCCAGCTCTACGGGTTGACGGGCTCACCTTCCGCTTGTTGGGGCATGTCCTGGCTTAACGCTCTTCAGCAGTGTGTGTCCGACACCAAACGCATTTTCCCTGACGGCACGGTGGATTTTTTGCTGCCGGTCCTCGGGCCTGACCCTGCCTCTCCGGTGTTCGTCTCTCCTTTGCATCGGTCCCGCGCCATGCCTTGGCTCCGGGCCCTCCTGCAAGAACACTGGCACCTGCATTCCTCCGAAGCCTGCCCGCCCGAGCATTCCATGTATGGGGTTCACAGCTGCAAGGCCACCGTCCTGTCCTGGGCCAGGCAGCTTAATCTTGACCCTGAGCTTCGCCGTCTCCAAGGGCATCACCGTCCGTCCTCCATGGAGGGCTCCGTTCGGGTCTACAGCCGAGACGATATAGGCCCAATGTTATCATTGCAGGCTGAAGTCATTAACCGAATCCGGTCCGGTTACCGCCCCCTCCAGCCAGTGGGCCGCGGCTCTAGCAAACCATTGCCCGATTTTCGGGTGTCCTTGCCGCCACCTGATAGCAACATGGGTGGCATGGCGCCGCGGGAACGCTCCGGCCGCTCGCGCTCCCCCCGGCGCCGTCCGGAACCGGCTGAAGACGAAGTCGAAAGCACTGACCTCTCCGATGACAGCTCCGACTCGGAACAATCCGGGGCCTCGGGTTCGGACGATGACTTTGCCAAGCCTCGGCCCCCTCGCTCCCAACAGCGAGAGCCCAGCATGAATGGGTTCCTGCACAACCCTCGCAGCAACGTCTTGCACCGTCCCGTTCCGTGCCCGCCCGATACTGCAAAGTCCGTGCGCGTGTCGCTGTTGGGTCTGGAACCATTCTGGGTGAAACCGGCCTGTGGGGCCTCTGTTGGTCAGCTCTGCTCTGAGGCATGGTGCTCCGCCCCGCCTGCGGGTGCCCAGCTCTGCCTCCGCCGCGCCTGCCAGACTTGATGCCCCGCCCCGCCGTAAAGATGCTGCATCTGCATGTGCCAGCTCGTGCCAGTTCCATGCGCATGTGGTCACACTTGCTTGCACTGTCTTTCCCGCAGCCGTTTTCTGTTTCAGCCGGCCCTGCCCCCCTTTAGTGCCGCCCTCTTCCGCCATGGCTTCTGATGGTTATCCGTCGGCTGGGCCTGGGGACCGTCCGGTTCGAGCGGCCTGGGACCGTGACGGCGCGGTTCTCCTGCCGTCTGCTCCGGAACTGCAAGACCTGGAAGATTTAACCGACCAGCAACTCCTTGACCTCTTGCGTCGCTGCTCGGTCGGCTTCCTGGCCCGACTGGTCCGTCTTTGTGGGAGCATCCTGCGCCCGCCCCGGGTCGTGATCTACTGCCAACTGCCATGCGTCAACCCGGAATGTCCACAAACGTGTGGCCGTCAGGTGGATCCGACCCGCAGACGCCAGCATCAGAACCACGCGTGCCGCATATGCCACCGCTTCGGATGGTAGCTCAGCGGCTGCATATCAGGGGGTTGGCCGGAGGCCGACACGCTCCCCATATTACTCCGAACATTGACGGTGCTATTCGCCGGCGCGGACGGTCGGTCAAAAAAACCTGGACTCGGCCCTGCTCCCGTGTTTGCTGGGATTGCCTGCCTTGTCCGCTTATTACTGCCTCCGTCCCGCTGCCATTTTCAGGCTCTTAGGATCAGGGTAGGCCGTCAGCTTGGACTTTTCCTGTCGTCAGCCTGGAGTTTTTTGCTCTTCCGACATGTCAAGTTCTGGCACACCCGCCTTTGACGATCCTGCTGCGTTGGTTGCCCTGCTCCGGCAATGGTCTGCTCCTGATGAGCTGCTGGAGGTCCTCACTGTAAAGGGCTTCAAGACCATCGCGACCATTGCCTATGCTATCCCACCGGACGGTTCCCCTGACGACTGGATTCGCGTCTTATGGCCTCCGGCAGACCCCAACGACACCTTGGCCAGGATCACACCAGCAGCCAGTTTTGCACGACGCCTTCTGGTGCAGGCGCGCGACCTTGTTCATCCGGCACCTGCCCCGTCGACCCCTGCCTCTGCTGGGAGCGCTCCGCCTTCCCTGCCCGGCCCGAAAATCACGGCCGAGGCGGCGGAGTTGCTGCGTCAAAAATTCATTGAGGCCTCCTAGCTTGGAATTTCTTAACCGCCTCCGCTCTGAGTTGGACAAGCCAACAACCCTGTGGATTCCTTGGCGCTTGAGGACGTCCGAGCATGACGTTCAGACGTTCTATGAACATCGCCGACCCAGGTCGGACAACCAGCTCCTCCGCTCCTTGTTGGATGACGTTCCGGACCCGGTTGTGGCTCACGCGTCCGTGCCTACTTCAGGTCCTGTCGAGCCTCTGCTTCGCCGCCACTTCGGGATCCTGGTCACGGCCTTGGCTTTTCTGGGTGACCTGCACCTCCGTATCGGCAAGACTTTTGCTGAGTCTTTCATTGCATCCGCTACGGCTGTCCCCCTGGATCCTTCCCTCCGGGCACCGTCTCTGCAAGAAGTACTTGCAGCGGACCGGTCCATTTGGGCTGCTGTTGGCACACTGATGCGAGATGAGAAATGGTCGCTGTCTGACTCCATTCATGAGGTTTCCGTCACCCGACACATGATTCCGACTTTGTTGTGTGCCCGGCCTCGGTCCATGCCTGCCCCTCCGGTCCGGGAACCCACCCGCACTGTGGGCACGGCCGACACGTCGCAACCATCTAAGCCAGATAGGCCCACGAAACGTCTCAAAACCGACGGCAAACCGGAAAAACCGACCGGCAAAGCCAAAGCCGATGCCAAAAAGCCGGCCGGCAAGAAACCCGTCAAGGATCTGTGGGAAGAGTCGTGGCATGAGGTGGACGAGAATGGCAAGGAGATTTGCAAACGCTTTGTGCTAGGCCGTTGCAAGTTGGATTCCTGCCGCTTTTCTCATTCCTGCCCGATCCCTCTCCCTTCCGGCAAACCCTGTGGCCAGAAACACACGGCTGCCAAACACCGCGCCACATCGCACTGAAACGCGGATGCGGCTGAACCCCTGTCGGCCTCTGCTCCGCCGTTGCGAGGCTCATCCCCTGATGCCCTGGCCGATGAAGCCGTGCGTATTTTCTCCTCTGATGAGGAGATCTCAAATCACGCCCCGGCTGAGTCCGTGGCTCAGGCGGCCCCTGCCTCGGAGTCGGCTCGACTCAGAAGTCGCTCGCCGCGCCGCCCGGTACTCCGATACTCCTTCTCCTTTGTCCGCCCACCCTCGCAAGGGGCTCGCCCTGGCATGCATCCCCCCTCCCCGTGTGCACGCCCTGCCAAGGAGACAGCTCCATCCTTGGATCGGGCCCCCCCTTCCACTTCCCCGGCCGATCCTCCTGCCCGCCCGGCACTGTTCCTGGACTTGTTTTCAGGTTGCTCGGCCCCGCTCTCTAAAGCAGTTTCCAATCTTGGCCTTGACCGCATTGCCCCTATCGACGTGCTTCATGGGGAAGAGGTGGACTTGCTTCTGCCCCAGCATCAGTCGTCCATGCGGAAACTGTGCTCGTCTGGCCTCGTGCGTGTGGCTGTTGCCGCCCCACCCTGCTCCAGCTTTAGCCGCGCTCGCCTTAAACGCGGTGGCCCGCCCGCAGTCCGGACACCAGCACACCCGCACGGCATCCCTGCTCCTTCCCAGCGCCAGCAGGCTGAACTGCAACGCTCTGACAAGCTGCACGAGCTCTGTCGGGAGCTCCTCACTCTCGTGCTTCTCTCGGGTGGTCTGGTGTTGCTTGAGAACCCATCTAGCAGCTTGTTGTGGCTCACCGACCCATGCAAAGCCTGGATTCGCCACCACTGCCTGTCCGCCGTGGAAATTGCCGCTTGCACTTTTGGCGTGAATGCCAAAAAGAGCTGGACCTTTGTCTCCAATTTGGCGGACCTTTCCTCTCTGGCCTCTGCCTGTTGCCACCCGCCGGGCACTCACCCGCCCTTGGCAGGCAAGCGTGATTCGTCCGGTGCCTTCCTTACACGGACCACTGCATGCTACCCGGACGGTCTCTGCGAGCGCTTTGCGGCACTGATGGCACCATATCTCTCCCGGTCAGTGGGTCTAGTCCCGTTCCTCTCCTGGGAAACGGCTCTTCTTGAGCCACAGCTCTGCTGGCCACTCCCCTCCTCCCGGATTGAAGATGGTGCAGGTTCGTGCTCCACTGCTTCCTGGTCCAAACCGTCCGGTCCCGACACCTTCGGCTCCCTGCTGTTAAACATTCTGCCAGGAACAGTAACACAGCTAGTGCAGTACAGTTAATGTACAGGAACAGCCGTCACGCACACGCGACGTGCAGGCTCGAGACCCCAGGACACACCGTGCCCAGGAACAAAAGTGTCCGACAGTCTTTGTGGGTAGGAACCCTTAGTGAAGCCCGTTCTTTAACATGGTAGCGGAGCTGCCTCCAGGAACCTCCTTGGCAGCGATGATGCTACTCGTAGCCATAGGAACCATGATGCTCGGCGCCATGGCAGTTTGCCTCGTTGCCGGATGGAAGCAGATGCGCGCAAATGAGCAGATCACCAAGAAGACGGAGACAGTGCTCAACATGCCCACGCTCAGGATCGCAGTCCGTTCAGGAACAAAGTACCACCGCAGAGGTTGTGGACACCTTCGCAACCACAACGTGACAGCAGGAAACGCGCGAGACTTTGACGCTTGCAGCGATTGCTACCCCGACCGAGTGTTGGTGGAAGAGAGAGAGAAAAGGAACATGAAGTGCTACGGTTTGGCAGCATGTATGGTGCTGCTGGTTGGTTTCGCACTGGGAAGCCTCGCAACTTTGTGCGGGATGATCTTGGTCCCAGGAGCAGGAAGTATGGCGGTGAGACCGTGGCAGGCCCTTGGCAACAGCGTGGAGACCAAGGAAGAACTTGCCCTTGGAGACGCCTTATCCTCCAAGGATGTGAGCCGTGGAAGAAAGGAACTCACTTACGTGGAGAGCGACGAGAGCGAGCTCATGGTAGTGTGGTCGAGCAGAAGGAAGCCCAATACGCACCGGAACCGCTACAGGAACTACGACGTGTACGGCGAGTACTACCAGCAAGGCTACAACGAGTGCAGCGTGAACCCCGACGGCACCAACGTGAACACGATCAGGAACACGAACGCGTACACGATTAAGGACTATGTGGAGATAGGAAAAGTCATGGTACCGTACGCTTTGTTGTGCATGAACCAAGTGATGAACGAGCTCTACAGCGTCGTTAGCGTGACCGGCGAGTACTACACGGAAGAGAACAGGAACGGCAACCAGAACACCGAGAACCAGGAGAGTGAGAGCCTTGAGTCAGGCTACGCCCCTAGGTACCTAGTAAAACAACAGCGAGAAGTACTGAGGAAAGTTGTACAGGAACATGTTCACAGTTTCGTAGAAAAGCTAGCAACCGTAGGAAAGAAGTTTCACGACGTCGTGCATGTGATAGTTCAGGAAGTCATTTCCAACAGAGTTGTATTTCAAGGAATTCGCATAGCAGTGTTCTTAGGAACCCCAATGGGACTGATTACTTGGATCACCCTGTCGTACTATTCTAGTGTGTTTTTCGCAAGAGCAAGCAACAGCTCAAAGCACCAAAGGAAGACAAGAGGAGAAAGGAGAGCACAAGCAGTGTGCAGGAAACAGTGCAAGTCGCTACTTTTAGCAGCACTAGTGTACAGCAACCTTGAAACAGCAAAAGGAATGGAGGATGCATTGAAGGCACTTGCCGAGATCAATGCACAGACCTTACAAGGAATACAAACACTAGCAGAGGAGATCAGGAACTCAGCAGCTTCAGGAAGTCAAAGAGAAGCAGGACTTACACAAGCATTCCAGGAAACCCTGACAGCAGTTCAGGAACAGCAGAAGACAGCGCAAACAGCGTTGGCAGACGCCCACACGAACGCAGCAACGACACTTGAGGAGATAGGAGCATCTCTGGAGAAAGCAGTAAAGGAACAAAGAAAGCCTGGAGAAGTGGAGTTGCACAAGCTGATTAAAAGCCCCGAAGCATTTTCCCCAGGAACATGGCAAGAAGAGAAGAGTGGATGGACAGAGTTCAGGAACAGGATGCGGATCTGGCTTGGAGCAGTGGATTCCAACATGGTGAAGATCATGGACATCGCAGAAAGGAACCTAAAAGATGATAAGCAAGTGAAGATGGCCGAGATGTCTACAGAAGCAAAGGAAACCAGCAGACGCCTGTACAGTGTTCTCTGTTCGTACACTAAAGGAAGGCCGTACCGAGTTGTAAAGCATGTAGCTGAGGAGAACGGTATGGAAGCTTACCGTATGCTACTCAAGGAATATCAACCAACGAATCGTGCGAGATCGTTGGAGTTGTTTCACAACATTCTCAACTACAAATTCGCTCACAACAAAGGAATTGCTGAGAATATCCTCGAATATGAGGAACACATCGAGAAGTACGAGAAGGCTACTGGAGAAAAGGTACAGGAGAATTTGAAAGTATCTACTCTTATTCAAGGTATGAAACCTGACGTGAAAAGGCACTTGTTGCTCAACATGGATGAGAAGACACAGTACAATACTCTTCGTCAGTACCTTGTGAACTATGAGTCAACCGAGCGTTGGACTAACTCTTTAGCAGCCCAGCAAGGAACACCTCACCGAACCACAACAGACTTGATCGACAAAGGTGATGACCATGGTGGTCTTGCAGCAATGGATATCAACCAAGCATGGTACAAAGGAAAGAAAGGCTATGGCAAAGGTTATGTTCACCATAAAGGCAAAGGTAAAGGAAAAGGCAAGAAAGGTGGAAAGGACTTCGGAAAAGGTTTCGGCTTTGACAGCAAAGGCAAAGGTAAAGGTAAAGGTTTCGGAGGTTTTGGCAAAGGCAGAGGTCGAGGCAACTGGAAAGGCCGAGGTAGAGGTTTCAGAGGTTACAAAGGAAAAGGCAAAGGTCGAGGAAGAGGTTTCTTCAGACACAAAGGAAAAGGTAAAGGCAAAGCCCAAGCAGCTACAGGAGTTTGTCACTACTGTCACAAGTATGGACATTTCGAAGCACAGTGTAGACAGAAAATGCGTGACATGGGTTACCAGGCCAGGAACGTTGACCTTGAAAACCAGAGCGAGCAAGCGAGCACTACAGGTACTTCTACTCAGGCCCCTTCGTCAGCCAACAAGACCTCAACAAGCCAAGCAAGCCAAGGAACCCAAAGACCAGTGATTAGGATGGTCTCCATGTACCACATGGGAGACGAGCCCACAAGCTTTCCGGAGGAATTCGCACTGAGTGAGAACTCTGAAGAGATAGAGATTGAGTACTTCGGAAGAGTTTTGCGGGTTGTTGGTGAAGAAGTTCAGGAAGAGAGGAGTGAGACAGAAGAGTTTTGGATTGGTGATGAAGATGATGAGTTTCAGGACTGTGATGAGGTGAGTGATGATGCATGGTTGCAATGGCATCTAGCAGGAACTCCGATAGGAACTCAGGATCGTGGATACTACTTTGAGTGTCCCAATGGATGTCATGAAACACCGTGGCACCCAAACATGCAGGAATGTGAGAACGGATGTCACCATCCTCCTAGAAGGAACAGAGTGGAGAGAACAGCACCCTCAAGGACCATCACCAGGTTTGCGCGTGCAGCAAGGAACGCGAGAACTCGAGAGATCGAGGTCGTGCTGGATTCAGGAGCCGACATTTCGTTGGCACCGATGTGGATGAAGAAGTATGGAAGAAAGGCACCCAACACTACCAAGGTAGTTTTGCGAGATGCACAAGGATCTCGGATCAAGGTTTCAGACCAAAGGATCATTGAGGTTGAGTTTCGGGATGTTCAAGGAAACATTGTGAAGGTTGAAGAAGTGTTCTTGATTTCATCGGTTGTGCACCCTCTTTTGGCAGTAGGTAAACTGTTGAAGAAAGGCTGGGAGTTCAGAGATGGAACAGCAACAGGCACTTTCCTAACAGAAGGAACAACCAAGATCGCAGTGAACTACAACAACAACTCACTTACAACAAAAGCCTTTGTGAGAGCAGTCAACTGGGAAGCAGAAGCAAAACCTATCCCTATGTACTTGTGCGAGAACTTGAAGGAACTCATTGAAGAACAGCGTGTTGGTTGGACCAACTGGCGAGACCCTTACCAAGTCCACTTCAGCCTAGGAACCTCAGAACACGTTGATACTTACTTGATGTTTCCACCAGGAAAGTTCGCATATCGAGCAGTGCTTATTGAGGATGATGATCAGTGGTATCTGTTGCATCACAGCATCATGTTTGAGGAACTTGAGGAACCGTTTGGAACAATCTTCGATGGCAGCAAAGAGTACCGCACACTTACGCTAGTATCGCTCAAGGAATTTCCACTGAACCTCATAGGCACCCCCAAGGAAGATGAGGATCGAAAGATGTTTGAAGAGTACACTGAGGATGCATGGTCAATCAGCATGGATGGCACTACACTCACGAGGTACCACAACTCGTTGAGGAAAACTTTGTTCAATCCTCGAGATACCAATGACATTCCAGTAGACATTGGAAACCTCAAGCCAGACAGGTACACGTATGGAGAAGAACCGATCAATAAGGATTTCTTTGAGGATGACAAGTTCTGGACTTTGGATGAGCCTCACAGAGACCCAGAACCACTAGGAGGTTTATCCTGGACAGGACGCAGTGTATTCGAACTCATTGAACCAGTGAACCCCAAGGCCAGAAGACCAAAACAGAAGGTTCACCAACTGGACACAATTCCAGAACAGGAAGAAGAACAGGAAGAGACCTCAGAGGCCCAAGCACCAGCACACAGGCATGAACTTGCAGGAGAGTTGTCTTTTACATTCAACGGTCATGAGTACAATCAGCAGAACAGCCTCAAGGCCCTGAGAGAGTTGTGCAAGGAACTAGGAGTCTCAAAAGCTGGCTCTAAGCAAGAGATTCTTAGAAGGCTCAGTAGATCCATCATGGAAGCAGAAAGGCACATGGAACTTGTTTCAGGCCAGAAGAAGTACAAAGAGTTTCTAGAAGCTGAACCTCTGAAGGTACCCAAACAGCCAAAGCCGGAGGAAGTCGCAGTTCATAATCTCACACACTTACCTTATGCATCGTGGTGTCCGACGTGTGTAGCATGCAAAGGAAAAG